ATTATTTTGGTAAGTCGACGTTTACCACCAAGAAAAAGAGCCCAAAAAAGGGTCGACATTATTAATTTTATTATAAAAAATGGCCAAAAATGCCACGTCAGAATTCTGGAGCGGACACGGCGGTACATGGTCATGTGTGCGGCTACCACACTCCGCTCTCACTGGCCGCCGGCAACACCTTCGTATGTTTTCGACACAACACAACATAATCAATCTGGGGCGCCTTGCACATTTTTTATATATTGTGTAGTCGCTTACGAGTCGTGGCCATGTTTGCGCTACAGGTGGCGCAAAAAATGGATGGATGATTTATCTCCAATCCTTCCTGGAGAAGAACGGATCGGATTCGCTGATCGTGTACATCATCGACATGTTGTCGCGAGGCTCCACGTCAAGGGCAACAACAACGTGAACGTGCACGAACCAGCGCATCTTCTTGAAGGCAACTTGGAGGCGCACACACAAGGTGGCCATCGAGCTGCTTCACCTGCCCTTCAACAAGCCCTTCCCTCTTCTCCGCTCCGTCTTCCAGTTCCTCGCCGCGGTACCGAGCTTTAAAGCCTGCCTCTCTGCGCGCTGCCCCGATCGACACACACAAGCCCTCATGGTACGAGGCCCTCCTGCTGCCGCCGCCACCTGAGGCCACAGCCCGCACGTTTAGCTTGCTTTCTAGAACGAACTGCAGTTGATATTTGATCTAAATAATAGAAAATATGCCGGACATGTGTTGAGGTCATGCCGAACGACTGGTGCACAGCCAGATGCTGATGGAGAACGCAGCAGACCACAACGTCGTAGCAATCGAACATACAGGTGAGCGAAGCTGCCTGCCGCGCCGATGTCTACACTTCTTTTGCGGTGCAGTGTGCGTCGTGTGTGTGTTGTGACGCAATTCTCACGAGTGCCCATGTGATGAAGGCAGAGGTGCGTTGCCAGTCGCTCTACTACTCCTACGGGCCAGATCAAACGCCGGCTGGCCAACCCCGCGTGAACCAGGTGCGGAGCATCAAGAAAACGATCAAACTTTTGGCTCAACTTTTTCTCTTTTTGCGAGCAGGTGTACACCTTCCGCGCCCAGAAGAAGCCCAAGAATGCGATCGATCCTCAGCGGTGGACGTCGATCTTTTCCATATGGAGCACTACACCAAGGAGCTCTCTCTAGCTCATCGACCTCACCAACCTGCTCAACAGCAAGGGTACCTAGTATATTCCCTACACATTCGAACTGTGCGCCAGTCGAGCTGATGGGGTTCCTCCCTCCCGGTTATATATCGTAGAGAGAGCGTGGTGAAAAAGGTGCGCTCGACTACGTAGTGACCAGCATCATCCCCTTCCTTGTGAACTACTTTGGCAAGTACTACAACCGCAAGGACGCCGCCATGTACGGTTAACCACCGCAACAGTAAGAAACTGTACACGCAACACGCAACACGCAACATGCCACCGCACCATCGCACACCACGACGAGCGTGTCCGGCTGACTGTCAGTCAGTGGCTCTCTCCCTCACCCAGACGCCACAAGGTGGTGGTGGCGGACTACATGGTGGACGGCCTCTCTTCTACGCCAAGGGACTGACCCACGCTCAGCGTGTGGAGGTGGGCAAGTGTA